TTTTTTTCACATTACTGTTTTTATTTTATATTGTAATTTAGTTGCTAAAAAATCTTCACACATACACACAAATAAAACCCACTGCAAAACTGATAAGTACAAGTACCTGAATTAGTTTGCTTTTCATTTGATTCTATTTAGGTGAATTGGTTAAAGCATTCTGGGTGCTCCATGAGCCTTGAATAAGGCTATAGTTTAAAAGATAATTTTATTACATATTTCTATTAAAAAAGGTACATTTAAATTAGAGTTAATCACATGCACTGGTGCTATTATGATTACTATTTTTTTCCATGCAGAAGGACTGAACTAAAAACATCCCCATTTTTTGCCTAGTGAAATTTCTTAAAAATCTGTCTCTTATTCATTATTGTTTTTATGGAGGTATTTACATTTCTAATTACAGCTTTCATAAATTAGACAGTAACTAATATGTGTTTGTGCGATTTTTTTCATCCTTTAAGGTTGCATAGTTCTTACAGGAGTTGTTAGAACACTTGTTTGTCACCCCTGGAAAGCTTAACTTGTCTGAAGTCTGTGAGAATAAGCAGATAACCAGAGCACTCTAAGGGGGAAGTGTAGGAAGTCATCAAGCACAGCTGATCTCCAGTTCAAGTGGAATCCCCTTTGACCCAGAGAGCTGAACAAGCTGCAAAAACCAGTCTGTCCAGTCACTGCAGGCTGAGATTTCTTGAGGTGCCAGGCAATATAAAAAGCAACAACTGAAAAGTTTTACAGAGTTTACAATCTGATTTGTAATCTTAGAGACAGAAGATAGAAAAGTCCATGGCAGGAGGATCCTCCAAATCTTAAGGGACTCAATCCCAAGCCCAAAGGCCATTCCAGAGTGATGAGGAAAGTAAAGCACAGAAGGTCATTTATACACCAAAGATTTAACTGAATCTATATATCTGACTAGCACTAAAATACTTGTTATATAACTTCAAATAATTGAGATTATACTCCAAGCAAAGCGGTTCATTGGGGAAGGATCTTCCCAGAGCAGCAGCCCTGAGGGTACCCAGGAAAGGGGGGCTCCCATGGCCCAGTGTAGGCAGACTTTGCCTCAGGTACATCACAACCCTCTTTCTTCACATCATGTCTGAGTCAGGACCTCGTTACCAACTCATGTTTATCCTCTGGTGCTCTCTTGGGATGAGCAGATACTAGAAATATTCAAGGACCTCCATCASCTAGTAAATGAAAATAATGAGTAATGCTAGTCTTACCTTGCATTGCATATAATTAAAAATAATCAAGAGGTCTTAAAGTTGCTTCTTTAACTACAAGCTCCAACTCTTCATTAAACCCGGTTGAGATCGTTTTATGCAAAGTCAGACTTGCAGATAAAGATGCGGTCTGCGTTACTSCTAATCTTTGAAAACACATTTCAGTAAAAGATAGTTATTGTGAGATCCAGTTTAATTGTAACTGGTATAGACTGGATGGGACCCTGAGATCAGGATCTCACTGCACAAAGAATARATTTTCAAAGTTCTGCAGATAATAAGTTGGGAAGTCTTGGTTTAAGGTTTCTTACAAATACAGTCTAAATTCTMCATGTTGGAAGGAATAACAAAAATGGACAGAAACCTAAAATAAAACACTTTTTCCACCCTGTGTTGCTATTTTTCATATGTTATCAATTTGAAACTCCAGTAATTCAGAATTATCTGRTCTCTTGACAAAGGGGTCACTAGCTGTGATACACATGTGAATGAAGATGGAAAGTTTTATCATTGTAAATACCATACACCCAAGAAGGATTTGCTGCGTCATGTAATACCTTGCTGCASTCAAGGACTGGCAGAGCTGCCTTGAGATAAAACAAAATGAGACAAACCCACCCTCTCTTTGATCTGGTGACAGCTCAGCTTATGAGGAATACGTGATGATGAAGGGAGGCTGATGGGTAGACCCAGCCTGTGACATATTCCCACCTTCAAACATCATCTTTGAGCCTTTGGCTCTTTTGCATACACACTATCCCACAAAAGCTTTCCAAATTAAAATAATTTTTGAAGTGAAAAATGAAGAGGAATAAAGCGTGTTACAAGTTTTCGACTCAGACATCAAATAAGGTACAGAGTCTGCAGACTTAACAGAAGTCTGTTAAGTTTGAGACAGATCTGTGTAACATGGAATTCTCATCTGGACTAGTTTTTGAGAAACAGTATTTATTGCTGTACAGTTATAAATCTGTGAAGACATTTACCACCACGTACTATACAGATCTGTGTATCACAGCTCAGAGCAGTCAGCAGGAATGACTCCCCAGTGGCAGTGACCTCTCCCTCTCCTGGGAACAGCTCTCCCTGCACAGTTCACCCCTTGTGCACAATGAATCCAGAACTCTGCACCCTCAGTGCACACCTTGGTCAGTGTTTTAACTGTACAGCTGCCTGTGTCACACTGGGGGCACAGCCCATWGCAAGGGTATTTTACAGGGTCTCTGGAGTGGGCAGAGGGACACAATCACTTCAGGGTGTCTGGCCATGAACAATTACAGCTGAGAGAGGTCCTGGTAATGTTTTTGGGAACAGGACTGATGGCAGCATCAGTAGGGAGTGGTGGCAAAACAAAAACCAATTTTTAAATGATTTACAGGAAATTTTCTATATTACAAGCATACTTATTTCTGTTTATCTGCTGGACAAGAATTATCCTTGCTTAAATTTCTGGTGTTTACAGGATTGTCTGAATTATCTGCTTAGCTCCTTGAAAAATCCCCATTTGTACTCACAAATCAGTTTATTTAGTTAAAGAAGGGCAGAATTTGAACATGATACATTCAAACATGTTTGCAAGGGCAGCTTTGCAAGCAATATGGACACATTCAACATTAAGGGACCTGTATGGTCCTTCTCCTCCTCCTAACATCACTTGGGTCTTTAACTGAGGGAGTTGGTTTCAAAACAGTGAAAATAATTTATAAAATAATCTAAAAATAATCACATTGTAAATCAGACAATTCACATGCCAGTTGCAGTTCTTACACCTTTTTGGGTACACCTGTTTCTCACTGACAAGACAACCTGCGGTTCTGTACCTAGAAAGTTACATTTTCTGAAGATTCTCATGTCCATTCACTTAAAGTATGAYTGTGGGTAGGTGTAGCACTCCTTTTTGTCTTAAGAAAGGCAGATCACATTAAAACAAAAAAATAGTTGTTTATCAGAGTTTTTGTTTAGTTTGTTGGTTGGTTTTCTTTTCAGGCAAATTCAAATGCTTATCATTAGAAACCTAGAATGGGATAGAGTAAGTGCAAATTTAGACCTCAAACAAAAAATTGCCAGAAATACCCACTTGCCTCAGCTATAAAGTTTTACAGAAAAGAACYACAGAACAGAAAGCAAGGAAGAGTAAAATAAAATTTGGAGATTAAATAGAAGATAAAGATCAAAACTCAAAGAGCAGAAAATTAAAAATKATCACAGTTAGCTCTGTTAATTAAAAAACCACATTAAAACATGAAACTAAAGAAGGAACAGCATGTCCCAACCCCTCCTTTATGGCTTCTCACAGCACAATTATTCCACCACCATCTCTCCAGCTAGTCTTTGTTTTGTGTTTCTATTATCCCTCAGTTTTATAAACAGCTATGCAGGTGAACAAATTGAGAAAGAAAGCTATTGTTTCTGGACAAAGGGGAAGAGTCCTGCTTTCTTCTGGGGGGAGAACTTGCCCACCTAGAAAGGGATTTGTAAAAGTACCACTTAAAATTTTGAAAAGCTTATCTAGAAGCTCTATCTTCTCAAACTGAATTAACAAACTAGAATAGAACCACCTTTCCTATGCCAGGCTTCCATGAAAGCAGTGCTCCTGACGTGGTCTTTGTGGAAGAACATGCATTTCGGTCAAYCTGGTGAGTGTCTTCCTAAGATGCATTTTCATATTACTTGACAGTTTTGTGCCTCAAAGA